TTTTTTTTTTTTTTTTTTTTTTTTTTTGTAAATGGATGTTTTACAACTAGCAACAATGAAAAATGGCAGCCATTTTGAGAAAGTGGGCCTCCTCTGCCCCCGTTAATTATATGCCCAGCAGCTTCCAAAATTGATATACTCGATAGGTTTTGTTAGGGGCAAAGTTATCTGCACAGTTAAATGTGCATGGCCATCAACCACCATATACACTCTGGAGGGAACTGTGAATCTTTCCTAGTCAAGTTCCTTGTTTCCCCATCTTTGGAATATGCACTTAAAACTTTGCTTGGGCAATGTGCATATTCATTAGCCAATGTATATGTACATGAACTCCCAGAAACACACCCTTGACTTCGTAATGACAAAGTAAAGAGCTCGCTGTAGTTCTTTTGCCTTGTCTAAAGAATGCATAGTAGTTATCATCTCTTTTTTGCTGCTACTCAGCTGCATTAATATGATTGAGCATGCAGGTGGAGATCAATCACAAACGGAAGAAAGTGTAACTTTTTCTTATCCTCTCATGGAAACATAAAAGGCCTATTGGCAGTGAACATTACTGCCCAGAAAAATGCTCAAAACACAATTAAAAAAATCACATGCTCTAAAGCCTGCTGGTAACCAATCCAGGAAAACGTACCAAAGCTTAGCACGTATGAACATCTTTAAAACTGTTTTGGAAAATATAGGAACTGATAAGGAGATATGTACATTTCTCTCTTCATTCCGAGATTATATGCACATCCTGAATGGCCTAATGTTGAGTCAATTAGTTCTTCGGTTGACGTAACTCCAAAATTGAATCTGTAGATAAATTCATTCACTACTCATACACATAACCATATTCATAAAATTTCTATTAAATGATTTATGCAAAGTGATATGTTTATATTGTATACAGGCCGTCCTCAACATATAACCACAACAGGAGGCAGAACATTCGTTGCTAAGCGATGCAGGCGTAAAAGAAGTCATATCTGATTTTAGGACCTTTTTCCTGAGGTCCTTAAGCAAATCACATAGCTGTTAAGTGAATCCATCTTCCCCCATTGACTTTGCTCATTAGAAGTCCTCTGTGAAGATTGCACATGGTGGTCATGTAATCTCGGGATGCTGCATTAATACATACTGGTTGTCAGCACATCACTATGGAGATGGCTGTGACAACTGCAAGTGTGAATTTTTTTCAATACCCTCATACTTTTGAATATGAGGGGTCCTTGGTGCTCTCTGAGCTTGGTTGTTTTCTTGCAGATATTCCATGACCCAAACTAGGTAACATCATCAGTACAAATATTCTCCTTTATTGATAACTTTGAACAGTTGTTAAATGAATGATTCTAAGTCAAGGACCTGACTGCTATATTGTTTCATGTGATAGTGAAGGTTTAATTCTAAATGAATGTTATTTGAGTGGGCAGTAGCCTTTTACTGTTTTTTAACAATTTTTATTGTCTTGAAAACTGGCCAGAGTTGTGGTTACAGTATGGGTGGTTATATAAAGTCTTTGAAATAAAAATAATAATAAATAAACTCAATCTTAAACATTGGTCATCCCCCCCCAAATCTTTACTCTTTCAGAATTGTGCAACATGAACATTGTAGTGTTGTTAAGAAATCAGAAAAAAAATAACTTAATGCATATAATAGTTTTAGACAAACTTTTAACAATTGGCTTTTTGTTATATTGAGAAAAGTCAGCACATCTGCTAATCAAATTAATTAAAAGGTAGCTTTTCAAAATAAAAGCAATTGCTTTAAATAAATACAGTCTCTTATATTCATAGAACTCTTGCTTCTAACTCAGGAAATGCAAATATATATATATTGAAGCCTAGAGAAATCTGAAATACACAACCATCGCTAAAGTATTTGAGCCAGGCACTGTGAAGAATGGTAACATGGAGGCATTTTCACTTGTCTTCCAGCTTTACTGGCAAAGAAAACAACAGCAGAACCCAACTTTCTTCTTCTCAACATTTAAATGTTTTTTATGGAACATGCTGAGAATTTATAATAGCCATTTAGTTTTTTAAGCTCTTATTCTCTGTGTTGCTTCACATTTCCAACCTGTGGCAAAACACATAATGAATCTGATGTGACACAAATAAGATTTGGGCAAACGGGAAGGAACAATGGGGATCACCCTGTGCCTGACTCACTAGAAGCACTGCTAGCAATTCACTCCTCTATGCTGCATCACCCATGTGACTTATTTTTAGCTTTGTGACATAAATGTTAAATATTGTATAACTACAGTACATCAATGCACATGGAGCTCTGCTTAGAAACTTGGTAAATATGATCATGTGGCATTTATTTAGTAGTCAAATGGCAGCTTCAATTCACCTACTCAGTTTAAATCTGCTTATCCCATGTTAATCAGTTCAGTTTGGTTGCATTAATTTCTGCTGGAGTTGATAAAAGAAGACTATCAGGTGCCTATCTTAGCATTGTCTCTCATGATATATACTACAAAGATGTGAAAGTATTCTCACAATAATGTAACCAAGGAAACATGGCAAATGTTGAAAAAACTACATACACCTAAGCACAAAGGTTCAACAATTGCATGATGGTGCTTAGAAAATGTGCAAAGGTCTTGTAATTCACACTTCATGTCTCACAGTGAACCAAGAGGCTGCCATCCCATATGCTCTACCTGGTAAGGAAAGCTGGAGGAGGAACTTTTGCAAATTAAGAGCCTGCTTTGGCATCAATCATGAGATGGATCTTTGCTCACGTGACCTGTGCAGATTTATCTCTATGAATGAAAAATCAAAATTAAGATATCTTTTACAAACATGAATTGTGTATATTGCCTTTGTTCAGCTAATGGCAGTGAGAAATATTTCAGCCTTGCTAAATTATCTTTGTATTTTATGTTCCATTCTATAAACTTGCAATTCATAACCAAAGCCTGGAATCATTTTGTCCAGAGCTGTAGCATATTTTGTAGAGCTCAGACTGAACCCCAGCCACCTTTCTGAAATAAAAAGTGACCAATTTCTTCCATTAATAGGTATCAGATTAATGCATTTCAAATCGTGATTAGCAAAAGTCCATGGAATGTACATCAGAAATCCTACTGACTTCCATTAAAAAAAGGAGAAAGTGTTTAATAATTTATTAACTTAATTTAATGAAAAAGTTAATAATTTATTCTTCTATGTTGAGGAAACCATTATTAATTCATACCAATAAAAGGTTGAGCTCTTTTTCTGTCTTCTGTTTGTTTTGCTGGTAAAACCTGTATTACAGATTTGAAAAAAGCACTGTCAAAAGCTGGTAGAGCAAAGTATAAAAGGGCAATAATGTAATTCATGGAAAAATGTTAAAGGATCTCCCCAAACAAATAGACCTACACAAAGCTGGAAATTATTAGAATGTCACTACCAGACAGTTTAAATTTAGGCAAATGACAGCAGTAAAACACTGGCACTATGAGAATTTTAATACTTCTGATGCCCTGTAGAGGATGCTAGTGGGATCTTTCTTTCGCTCATTTTTTTTTAACGTGTTAAAAAAATAATTTTGGACTATTGAAATATATGACACCGTTGGCTTTGTTCAGAGCCTGGCATTCTCACTGCTTGTCTCTTTTTTTTCGATTGGCTCAGGACCTCGCTTAGCCTTGGCATCCGAGTTCCCACTTCCACTTTTGCTCAGTCCACATGATAAACAAGCCAGCTGGATCTGCTTCATATTTTCTATGGCTTCATTTTTGGCGTTCCTCAGTAGATCCCCTTGTCCCTAAGAATACACAAGAAATACAGGGAATCAAAATAAAATACAAAGCCGTGAACAATGAAGGTTTCGTATCTGGTTTTCCTTCCCTTGCAGTCACAAGTGTTTTGGACAGAGAACAAAGTGGCTCTGTGTGCATCTGATCTGAGGCCTGCTTTGAGAGGCAGCTGCTTCATGGTAGCAATTCCTTTTGAGCTGACATCAGGGTCTTCCTAGGCCAGGACAAAGTGGGCTGGCAATCCAATCTCTGATTTAGCATATCAATCTTTTTCTATTTATTTTGGCTCTAAATTGTTGAATTTCTGAAATTAATTTGGGGAGATTGGCACATATATACAGTAGTTGGTTCAGATAGCATATTCTGATGGATAGGTATCAGGGCCTAAACTTCCTTAGTAAATCATAGTACAGAAAGGAATCATGGTGCAATCGTGCTATCACATGGGGAGTATGGCAATATCCTTTCTTATTGTAAGGACACTAAGAGGTACAACGTTCATAGAAAAACCTAAGTAGGACAGGGTTTCCATCATGCAGAGGTCCTTTGTGCATACCAATACACATGAAAATCATTGTCCATGTAAGGCCTTGGGAAGGAGCAGAGATGTGGCATGCGCTTGGTATGCATGTGCAGCCAACTCTACAAATTCTTTAGGTAAGTTTGAACTGCTTGAGGGGAACCAGATACATCCTTTCACCCATATTCCTTTCTGTGCTATGATTTATTCAGGAGACATATTCACTGGAGTACCAAGTAGCGAGTTAGAAAAAAAATACTGAAAAGAATGGTGAATCTGTACAGGTAGTCGTCATCAACCTACAACTGCAACTGAGCCCAAAATTTCCATTGCTAAACGAGCAAAAAAATTTCCATTGCTAAATTGTCCCCATTTTACGACCTCTCTCTCCAAATTGTTAAGTGAATCACTGCAGGTGTTAAGTTAGTAACATGGTTACAAAGTGAATCTGGCTTCCCCATTGACTTTGCCTTGTCAGAAGGTCACAAAAAGTGATCACATGATCCAGTGGGACACTGCAAGTGTAATAAATACATGCCAATGGCCAAGTGTCCAAATTTTGATTCCGTGACAATGGGGATGCTGCAATTGTTGTAAATGGAAAAAAAATGGCCGTCCCTTTTTTTCAGCGCCATTGTAACTTTGAATTGCCATTAAACGAACAGTTGTAAGTCAAAGACTACCTACAGTTCAAAACCAGGAAAACGGCAAGCAAGTTATGCATTGGTATTGGTTTGGAGGGGAAATCATATCATTTGAAATCCCATAATCCAAGGGGAAAATCATGTCAGCAGAAAGTTTGTAAGACAGAAAAATCATTTTTAGGAGAGCTCTCAATACCTTACAGGCTCAGAAGATGAAACTGAAAAGGACTTTTAATAAGTCTTACTAAAGTAATGAAGAAATATTTAACATGCAATATTCACAAATATATATGTAAAATGACCATTGAACATAAAACCTAAAACATTTCCCTCTTAAAACATTCCTCATCTTCATAATGTGTGAACTTATATAAATGTTTAAATACCTTAAAGAAATAAATGAATGTTGATGTTTCCTCCAGTGCAAACCTCTGTTTTCTACTCTCCATTCATCCTCAGTTGCCTTCCAATGCAATTTGACATGGGAAGATAATCTGCTATGATTTAAGCTACTGACACAAGCCAAGTAATTTTGCATTCACTATAGTATTGCACCCATCCTGGTAAACAACTTTAGAGAGACAATGGTAGCTGGCAAGGTACAGCACCAGTCAACAATGTCTGGAAACAAAAGCATCTGGGAACACCAATGTCAATGAGAATTGCGTCACAAGTTGATAACATCTGGGATAATTCAACCATTCTGCTGGATGACTTAATGGCACAATGGAGCCTTTGTTCAAGCTTAGGTCTTGGTAGGATCACTACGTCAACCTTTTGCATCAGACTCCTAAAGTAGGTTGACAATGTGAATGTCAAAATTGCTTCGTAAGTCCTATAGAAATAGGAGTACAGAAATTACACAAAACCTGCAAATACTTTCCAGAGGGGTAACTGGATCAATCTCTTGCATTAAAAACAAGACTATTGTGGAACACTGAAGATTAATCCATTTATTATTACATTAACTTTTGTGAACTTTATGCATTCAATAAACTAGGTTATGGTCTATGAAAGCTTATGCCAGGATAAACAGTAATCTTTAAAAAAACACCATAAAACTAATTTCTTTAGTTAGATTTTTTTTAAACCCTCAAGGAATAGATGGAACATCATATTAATAGTCATTACACATATGAACAATTGATTATAATTTTTGCAGCTTAGGTTTCTCTGCTTGTCAGAGTGACTCTCTAGCATATCATCCTTTTCCAGTGCTGCTAACCACAGAGTGTGTCATGAAATTACCTGAGAAAGATATGTGAAATTAACTGACAACTATGTTTGCCAATCTTTCATACTTTCCTATGTGGAACAAAGCAAAAGAGCATGAATAGACAGATGGAATGGCATTACATATGAGTTTGTTTGTCTGTTCGTTTGTTTGTTTGTGGGTCAAGGACAACACTGACTAGAAGGAATGTTTTATCTTTGCTTTGAACATTATAATAATAGTAGGGCTATACTTTTTGCAACAAATCTAAAATGTAGTACAATTTTTTACACTGGGACAAAAGGCATTTAGTTTTCTGTAATTGGTAGTACTTAGAGTGATGTTTATAGTCAGGATCTGCATCGGAATCTGCTGAAACATAAAACATTACATAGAGCAGGGTAATACAGATTAATTTTTAATTTAGTCTGTGCAAGGCAGACACATCTGATCTCTGTTCTAATTTTGTATTTCCATGAAACTCTATTCCTGATTTTTTTTCAGAACTGCACTGCATTGCAAAGGGATACAGCAGATGTTTTCATACACAGAGAGAGAAGAGGGAAGAGCAAGCTCAGATAATGTGTAGAAAAGGTGATTATAGACAGATCTGTCCTCAAGTCCTTACATTTCAGCCACTATTGGTTTCATCAATCACAGCATACTGAGGATTGAGAGAGATATTTTATTTAATGGTTCCCTCCATCACACTATTTTTCAGTCTCTACTCTTGAATAGATGTATGACAGTATTTTTAAAGCTAATTAACCCAGCCTAGTAACCAGTAACATCAACTTTTATAGACCCATCTCAACTTCCAACAATCAACTGCATTTAGGAAAGACCAACATCAAGTTTTACAATCATCCCTTTCTTTGAATAAAACCTTCTCCATATAATGGTTTGTATTTTTATAAGAATACTTCCTGATCTAGATTTATTGTCCCATTTTGATTTATGAGTACTTTAAACAAAAAAACAATTTCTAAAGGATCATAATTCCCCCTACCTGCCCCATTTCTAAGAAATTAGGCATGCTTTTTCATAATATAAAGCTCTAACACAGGCATATACAATAGTATAATGAAATATTCTGGTGAAGAACAAAAGAAAGGACAACTATTTCTGGACTTTTCGTCATGCCATATTAAAGGAAAATGGAGTTCTATTTTTCTGACTCTTGTTCTAGTTCCAGACATCAAGACAAATTGGCCTATATCTTTGGAGTACTTTATAATTTACTGAGTCTCCAAATTAGATCAGATAGTGTGAGACTAGGCTAAAGCTGAAGTAGGCACATAAGCAGGATGGACAAAGACCAGGAAAGGAACCCTTAGGGCAGTGGTGGGATTCAAATATGTGAACAATCGGTTCTTTGTGTGGATGCCACTTCCAGAAGTCCATTCTGGGCCTGGGGAACAAAAAATTAGCTACTGGTTCTGCCGAAGTGGTACGAATTGGCTGAATCCCACCACTGCCTTAGCGGAAGTAGTTAAGAAGGAACCAACTCATTAAGGAAACGAAAAAAAATGTCACCGAAAACAAACAAAAGAAATTGAGCCTGAGCACATGGGAAACGCCTGCCCCAGTGCCATCAACAACTACCAGACATGAGACTCAACAAAGGAAAGGCTTGGGGGGGGGAAAGGGGGCTCTGAAGCCTGCCCACTTTTTGAGTCATCCTTGGATCCAGACTTGGTGGCTTCTGTGCCAGCCTAGTTGAGAAGGACATGGGTGTGTGTTTGTGTTTGTGTATATGAGTGCATGTGAGAAAGAGCAAATAGATATGTTGTAACCACTAAACATTTCTATGCCCATCTGCTGGCAATGAAAAAAATAGGTTCTGAACAAAAATCACTTAAAGAAAAATGCCGATGAAATTATATCAACACCTTAAACAAAATTAAACCTAAAAATAATGCAGTTCCAAATCATTCTTGGAAAATCAGTCAGTTGCTGCATTGAGCTGAGAGCACAGAATCCAGGTACACATGTACAAACAGGCTTTGGAACAAAGAAAAAAAGCACATGTCTATCTTTTTGCCTTCTAACATGCTGCTCACTTCCTTCTGTTACTATTGTTATCACTGACTCTAGAAATAAATATCAAATCAACACAGGAAAGGTCAGGTCAGCTTTTGGTGGGATGCCATGTAAGCCTGGAAGCTATTAATCAGGCCTTCCAGTAGAATAGTAAAGAGCTTATCTGAAAGCAGAATGTATTATTCCATAAGCATCTTCACAAAATGCTTTCTCCTTTTCTTTCACAAGACTTTCTCTGGAGCACATTGAGTTAAATGTACCTGGTAATGTAGAAAAAGTTTGCACCATTTTTGTTGATTAAGTACGGGGGGGGGGCTTCCTAATAAGAGACAGATGGTTATATGGCAATCTACTCTGACTTCATGAACACTGAACCAAAGTCTTAATTTGTAAGTACTGTCAACATATATGGGGGAAAAATTAAAAGGGAGACAGGGGAATCCTGCCATCTTGGAGCCCACCCTATCAAAACTAAATACGAATGTAGGTATGACTATTTCATTTCATTTCAATTCAATTCATTCATTCATTCAATTTGTATAGCTAACCCTAATCCAGTGATGGTGAACCTTTTAGAGACTGAGTGCC